CAGATTAAAACTGTATTTGGGGTAGTATTTTGATAGTATTTTACTGAAATTTCTATCTTTAGTAACCAAGGCCATAATCATAATGTTCATTGAAATCAAAAAATGATCAATAGAAAGTTATTCTTCGTGTAGTCTTCTTCAGTACAAAATTATATTGAAATAAGAACAAAACTTGAGTGTAGTATTTTGAGAGTATTTCACAGGAAGTTCGATGTTTAGTAACAATTGCAACATTTTTCATAAAAATCGAAAAACTTTTACACACCGATTTGTGTAAGTGAGTGTAGTCTACTTGTGTGCCAAGTTATATTGAAATAAGACCAAAACTATAGGAGGAGTATCGTTTTGAAACAATCCACAGACATATTAATTTTTAGTAACCACGGCAACACTGCATATCGAAATAAAAAATTAAGAAATAGACTTATGTATCGTAGTATAGTCTTCTTATGTGCCAAGTTATATTGAAATAAGACCAAAACTGTAGGAGGAGTATCATTTTGAAACAATCTCACAGACATTTCTATTTTTAGTAACACCATTCATCAAAATAAAAAAAAAAAATACACAAAATTATGTAGCTAAGTGCAGTCTATTTATGTGCCAAGTTACGCTGAAACTGTAGGAGGAGAAGCATTTTGAAAAATGGTGTACAGACAGATAGACAGCTAGACAGAAATAAGCCTGATGCATTACTATTGAAAAAGCTCTTAGAGGTCAGTAGAACTTTAAATTAAAATATAATTATTTTAAAAACTTGCATGAGATAATACTGTACCTATAAAGCTGCATTGTAAAATGCACATGCATTCAAATTGTTTAAATACCCCCTTTCTAGACCAGGAAGTATAAATACCTGACAGGTAGATAACACAGGTCAGTGTTTACTTAGAGATCAATAGGACGACCTCCATTACTGAAGTCAGGTAATAAACATAAGAAAAGTACTTGAAGAAATTATTAAATTCAAAAATTGTAAAAAAAAAAAAAAAAAAAAAAAAAATATTCAATGCATGAATGTTGTATAAAAATGTTGTTTATCTTCCTGTTTATACATGTATCTGCAAAAACTTGTTTAATGCTGTCAGATATATAGACAGGACTCAATATTAATGTGTGTCTATGTCTAGTTTATTTTATGAACAAATAAGTTATTAATCTCCAATTTTTACTAGCATGACGTAATTTTTTGTACCATTATGGAATATCATAAATGTGAAAATAATACGGAATGTATAAATCACTTGCTTGTTTAATGTTAATTGCATACATCAATCACAAAATATAAAGGCCTCATTCACACAACACCAGATACCAAATAAGTTTTAGACAGTATTACTGCATTTCAGTTTATAATTCTTGATGATTTAAATGTATTATGTTTTTTCTTGAAGGCAAATTCCTTCACATCTGTAAACAATAGGATAGAGTAGAAATGAAATCGGACAAATAACATTTGTTTGAATCTTGTATGTGTGAAAAAATGTGTGTTTTCCATAATCAAATAAAATGTAGAATGTAGTCGTGCGGTCTTAAAAAGTATCTGCTGCCTAAAATCCAATTGATAAATTTACAATCATTAATATTGAACCTCCTTGGTTTCAGTCACAGAAATTAAGGACGTGATGCGATGTGACCTGTGTGAGACCGCTGTGGTACAGATGCACTGTGATACATGTCTTGTCAACTTATGCACAGCTTGCGTAGGGAAACACATGATATCTGATGAATCCAAGGACCACAAAGTCGTCAAATGTCAGGCCAGGAAATCTACTCCTCTCTACCCTGAATGTACAACTCATCTCAAAGAGCGATGTAAAATGTACTGTAAACAATGTGACATTCCTGTCTGCATCAGCTGCCTTGAATCTCAACAACATTTAGGGCATGAGTTATATAATTTTTTGAGAATTTTGGATGAAAAGAAGGATATTTTTATAAAAGAAAGAAATGAATTAAATGATACGATTTACCCAACCTACCAGGACATTGCCTCTGATGTACAAAACACAATGAGTCAGCTACAAAAGGAATATGGAGTTCTCTCAACAGCCATAACAAAACATGGAGAGGACTGGCACAGAGAAATTGACAAACTTGTCAAGAAACTTAAAGCTGAAGTTCATGAGATGAAAAACATACAGTTACAAACTCTACAGAAACATCTGGATGAAATAAACAAGACAATGTCTGACATCAAGGATGACATTGATTCAGTTGAAATGGCTATAGACACTAATGACTTGTCAAAACTCTTTGGAGTCAGATCAAATGCACAAAGATACAGAAATCTTCCACAAAAAAATATGCTATCTTTACCAAAATTCATTCCAGGAAAAATCCAAGGAGAAGAACTGAATAAAATGTTTGGAACGGTATCATCAAGTTCTTTAACCTCAGATAAACATGGCTACAGCATGAAGACAACACAGAAATCACCAGAAGCTGAATCCTCTCCTCCAGTCAAACAGCTGCTCGATGAACCAGAGACTGTAACCTACATAGACACTGGATATACACTGCTTTCCAGTGTGGCCTGTCTGAGTGATAAAGAAATCTGGACAGTAGGAGATGGCAACACCATGAAACTCTACAGCATCAATCAGGGATCACTTCTCAAATCAATCAGAACAAAGTCAGGGCTCATACCATGGGACATAGCAGTGACAAAAAGTGGAGATCTAGTTTATACTGATTACTACAAGGATAGAACTGTGAATATTTTGAAGAGTTAGAAGTTAGAGGAGGTGATCAGTATACAGGAATGGGACCCTCGCAATGTCAATAGTACCTCCTCTGGTGACCTCCTGGTTATCATGTACAGTGATGATAGAAAACAAACAAAAGTTGTTCGTTACTCTTGCTCCACAGAGAAACAAACCATCCAGTTTGATGATAAAGGTAAACCTCTCTATTCATCTGGTTCCTATATCAGATACATAACTGAAAACAGGAACCTGGATATATGTGTGTCTGAAAATAAAGCTAAAGCAGTAGTGGTGGTCAATCAGGCTGGGAAACTGAGATTCAGGTACACTGGACATACTCCTGCTCCAAAGAACCAACCATTCAGTCCAGTAGGAATCACACCATACAGTCAGAGTCACATCCTTACAGTTGATAATGAGAATGAGTGTGTCCACATGTTAGACCAGGATGGACAGTTCCTCCTTTACATAGACTGTGGACTAGGTCCTTGGGGACTGTGTACAGATACAAATGACAATCTGTTTGTTGCTCAAAATAGAAGAGTGAAGAAAATCAAATATCTGAAGTGAATTAAATTCATGACTGTGTTGTATTCTTATGTACAGATAAACTATTCAATAATTCTTATTGAGGCTGAGTATTATTATTTTTGCTCTATAGGGATTTTGATAGTATTTTGAGAATAAATATTTACTTTTACATCAATTGTATTAAGATTTTAAAAATCCTATGTTTACCATCCCGATTTCTTAGAGGGATCTCAAAATTTATCAAATTTTACTATTTGGCCTTATGGGAATTTGTTGGAAGATAGCTAAATTATCACAATTTCTCAACTTTTTTGTATTTCTGTCATAGAAATTTCTTTTTCATTCAAGTAGATGAAAGTCATTGTATAAAGTCACCAAACTGTGAAATTTTAACAAGAGGCCTATGGGCCACATTGCTCACCTGAGCAATGTGGCTAGGAAAAAAGCATAAATTAATTTCTTTTTGAAAAGTTTAAACTCAATAGTGGTCCTAAACAATCCTTAAAAGGGAGAAAGTATGATTTGAACAAACTTAAATCTACACTTAGTATGTTTTCATATTTTTTTTGACCAAATCTGAATAATCTTTAATGGATTTTACATTTGAATGTTTTTACATTGTGGCCCTGCACTACCCCCAGGGGTCATGACGGTGTTGAATTTTTAAAATTGAATCTACACTACCTGAGAATGCTTCATATGAATAGGACTAATCTTGGCTTTGCTATTTTTAAAAAGAAGAATTTAAAAGATTTTTTCTACATGTTTCCATGTAAAACTTGGATTCAATGTTGTGGCCCCGCCCTACACCCAGTGGTCATGATTTGAACAAATTTGAATGTCCACTACCTGAAGATGCTTCCATCAAAATATTATCATTCATGCCTTTGCTATTCAAGATAAGAAGATTTTAAAAGAATTTTCCTATATATTTTATATGAAACTTTGATCCTCCATAATGTGGCCCCGCCCTACACCCAGGGGTTATGATTTAAACAAACATGAATCTCCACTACCTGAGGATGCTTTCATAAAAATATGATCATTCATGCCTTGCTTATTCTTCAGAAGAACTAAGATTTTTAAAGACCTTTCCTCTGTTTTTCAATGTAAAATTTTGATCAGCCATTGTAGCCCCCCTACCCCAGGGTGGTCATGATTTGAACCTGAATCTACACTACCTGCTCAAGGATGCTTCCCTATAAGTCTCAATTTTCGAGGCACAGTGGTGCTTGAGAAGATTCTTAACGAATTTTCCTATATATTTTTAAGTAAAACTTTGATCAGCCACTGTGGCCCCGCCCTACCCGAGAGGAATGTCATGATTTGAACAAATGTGCTAAAAAGTTGACCATCTAGGCATTTATTACTAACTTTTTTTCAAAGCCCAATACCTCTACAAATGCCATACATTACAGTATAAATACATAACAGAGCAAATAAATTGTCTACGCATATGATTTTTCCCGTAAAAATAGCAGTGTTTAGATTGCTAGTATGTTCATTTGGATGTTCTGTCACCAGTATTTAGCACAAAAAAGTAAGTCATGTGTCATTTTTCAGCGTCATGCATTGTTTACAGAATCGGAAAATGGTGATGTCGTAGAGCCATATGGCATTTTTCCTTATTGTCCATCTTCGCTATAGCCAAGGGTTTTTGATATGCTACTCTCCTCATAACCGTATTAGAACCCTGGAAAAAATTCCGATTTCTATGAACACCGTACGCCAAAGGTTTCTGAAGAGAGTAGCGTAAAAGAAACCCTTGGCTAGCAAAGATGCTTATTGTCGTGAAATCACTTTTTCAGAACAACAGGAATTACAGAATGATAATTGTTAATTTTGTATTAAAATAAAAATATTTGGCAAAAGTGTATCATCTAAAAATAACTGCATAAAATTAAAAAGCTGTGCACAGTCATGCGGCTGTATACATGGTATTTCTCACCCCGTGATATTTTTGATCCTCCCTAAAATTAGAAAATAAAAGAGCAAGGGCTACCTATTCTATGAAATACATGTACTATTAACAAATTGAGACAAATGATTCAGTCTTCTGGAGCATATACTAATCTGAACTTCTGACCTAAAAGATTACAAGTTAATCAAGTTACAATATGAGAGCTAATTGACTGTAGATGTGCATTTAAAGGATTCCATTCAAATAATTTAAAACAATCAATTGACCTACATAGTTGCTATGACAACAGCTTGTTCCACTGATGACAGGTTGATAGCAAACTCCCCGGTTCTGTCAAATTAATGGGTCGAAAAACACAAAGTAAGCAGAGGAGAGTGTTTCTCATTCTATCAAAGATATTTAATTACTTAAAGACAGGATTTTTTTACCCTTTAGAGGTTAAATCATGGTGTACTGCATTGATCCCTCTCCTGAATGCTTCCTTTTGGAGCCTCTTCTGAACAGTAACTGTTTTTTGCTGGATTTCTACTCTATAATTCTGACTTGAACCTTTGGAAGCCTCTTTTGATTTGTATTTTTTTTGGTTGCTTTCCCCATTCAACCTTTAATTTTAACCTTTATTCTTTTTACTGTATACTCTCTTGTATTGTTCCCTCTCTGCCACTCTAACATTTTAATGTTATAATGATATTTTTTCGCAAAATCCTTTATTTAAAACTAAACCTGTTTTCAATTAGCATTGTTACACCTTTTAATTTTTTCCAATAGTGAATGGTCCCAAACTGCTTTTGTTATTTCACGTTTACTGTTAAATGGATAGCCTATTTCGTAATAAAAACAGTCGCGAAAAGTGGCCAATTTGGCTTAACATGGCTTTCTTGGAAATAATTATAATATAATCACCTAATGCCGTATTGGTAGAATGGAGATTGTGTGTATATTTAAGTATCATCTGTGGTTTCCCATCTGTTTCTTTCACAAAGCTTTTTTGAAAAGGAATTTGAATAGTTTACAAGGGATATATTTTTTTTTGAAATGGACAATATATCAATGAAATTAGATGAAAAAGTTTAAACTGTGCTGTCTCAGAGAAAAGGTGCACAATACTTCACCGATATCCAATGTGTTCTAAAATACTAACTTCAAACCCCATATTAGATTGTGATGAATCTATCAATTTGAAGAAAAATAAACCAAGTCTGAAATGCAATACAAATTTTAAACCTTTTTTTTTACTTTCATCCAAAATATATATAAAATTTCTGAACATCTAAACAGCTTAGATTGCAAGAAAAACAAGGATATCATTTAATCATTTCCCTATATTTTTTTTTCAGTTTTTGAAACTTGATATCTAATATTTTTTTATGAAAAAACTCTGAATTAAAAAATCCTATATCATACATTAGTTTTTTTTATTTTTATGTCCAGCTTTGACTTCTTTTCTGAATTATGTTTTACAATGAGCTAGCATCTTTTCATACACTATCATTTAAGGAATGACTCTAATTCTTGGCCAAATTATCGAGTATAATATGGTTTGGGTCAGTTTACGCTTTATAATCGCGAAGCGGATTATAAAAAAGCGTAAACTGACCCAAACCATATTATACTCGATAATTTGGCCAAGAATTAGAGTCATTCCTTATAATTTAATTTTAAAATAATTATTCAACTGGGGATGTAAAATTGTGTTGTTTTTATGAGTTCAAATTTACCGCGCAATAATACAACCGTAGTAACGGAAG